AGCGCATGCGCGAACAGCGCCATCTATTGAGAAAAGCTAAAACTGCGTCGGCGCGAAAAGTTTTGAAGAGCGGTCATTAACAACAATGATCTTTCTGTTTTCATTTCATAATCACACCAGACCAAACTTGGGTAAAGAACGAGGTTTCTCCTAATGTATCAAACATGTTTGATGCCCTGATGCTCTTCTTGTTATTTTCTCTTCGCCCGTCAACCTGAAAATTCACTGTCTTTTCCATGTCCCCAGCGGTTTCTGGGTGGTCGCTGTGTTTCTGTGTTTTGTAATCGCTTTATTCCTCATAAGTAAGGTGAGTTTTTAATAGATTGAGTGTCGCACAGGCTTCAGACCCGAATGAGAAATGGGCTTTCAAATCGACGTCGATTCGACGTCGAACTCGGCAATTCATCGATTTGCGGGACAAAATCGGATCGATTTCGAGTCAAATTTGCCTCGATCGATGACTATCAACCACTTTATCGATTTTGAATTACTCCCTGGGATATCTTAGTTACACTTTACGCTACAGGCGTGTGGACGTGTTGCCTACTCGCAACTTGACTTGACTAACCCGCAATGGGCCATAAGACATTGTGGTGAGAGACGGTAGGCAAGCCCGCCCACACGGCTTCATGCGGTCCAGTATAACTACGAAATATTCCTGAATTATTTTAAGAAAGTACTGGGCCTATATGGCACCTCTATTACTAATAATAGTGATTCGGTTCTGCGATTGAGCATTGCTTTTAACGCCTTTTGCCCACTTTTGCCCCAGATTTGGATTAAATGGGAAACCTGCCCGGTGATCGTTACGTTCGCCGACAAGCCCACTCCGATTTGGGATATCCCCTTTCCTGCGGTGACCATCTGCCCTGCGTCCAAGACCAAGCAGTCACTGTTCAACTACACGCGGGTGTATCACAGAGTGCACGACAACATTGCGACGGACGAAGAGTGAGTCAAACTCTGTCGTAAACGACAGAACAGTCTAGTCTTTGAGTTTGGTCAACCGACCCTCAGTCAGGTGGCCCAGGAACAAGTCCTAGGGCCGCAATGTGCTCGAACACCTCATTGACAGATCCAGACCCCCAGACAAACCTAAATAATACAACTTGACGCCCGCAGGAGGTGGCAGTTCGAGGCACTCAACGTCTTGTGCATTACGGACAAGGGCAAAGTAGAGGACAGCGTGGCCAACGAGTCTACTTTGCAATTCCTTCGTGACGTGGCTCCGACGCTAGACGACGCTATTGAAGAGTGCTACTGGCAGATGCGTCGTATAAACTGCTCAGAATACTTCAAAGTAGTTTTAACTGAAGAGGGCGTTTGCTTCACTTTCAACGCCCTTAGCTCGAAAGAGATGTACACCAACATGACGCAAGTGTCAAAGTTGGCAGTCGATCTGGTTTACTTTAAATTAAATTTAAGCTGACTGCACGCTTACTTTCCTCGCAGAGTACAGGCGCAATCGGACCCGCCGTCCAAAATGGCGTGGGGCTGGAACTACGAGACGGGGTACGAAGCCGTCGACGACTCAACTGTGAAAGCCTTTTACCCTCAGCGCGCGACATTCACCGGCCCGTTCACCTCGCTGAGGATTGTCTTGCGCTCCTACGTGAACGACATGGACTACTTGTGCCACGGCTGCGAGCAGGGCTTCAGAGTGCACCTCCACAACCCGGCGGAGAACTCGTGGTCCTCCGGCCACGTGCTCGCCGTGCCGCTCAACACGTCCGTCATGATGCTGGCCAAGCCCAACCTGATACAGACCTCGGAGGGCCTGCGTGAGCTGAGCCCGGTCAGGAGGTCGTGCTTGTTCTCCAGCGAGCGCCCGCTAAAGTTCTTCCAGATGTACTCGCAAGACAACTGCCTGTACGAGTGCTACGTCAACATGACTGTGACACACTGCGGCTGCGCGACCGTCGGGACCCCCCGCATCTTGGGCACCCCCGTCTGCATCTCCATGTCGAGCTGCCTCATGGACACATACCGTAAGGAGTGCATCTTCCTCGGCGTCCTAGACGCCGGCGAAGACGCTGCCCGTTTCCTCTGCTTTCAGTAGAAAAGGTGCTGAACCAATCCCTCCTGGCGATGCAGAGCGGAACAGACTACGGGGCGCTGCCCTGCGACTGCCTGCCGTCCTGCACCATCCTCAAGTACGACGGCGAGGCCAGCGTGGACACCTTCCCGTGGGAGAAGAGCCGCCGGGCTCTCGGACTGCCCGAGGAGCGCGCCGGCGTCGAGCGTGGCGGGTAAGCGTCCGGGCACTCCGTCAACATACTCCGACGTGACGCGACACTGCAAACCCTTGAGTGAGGTTTCGAACTAGAAGTGAGTGAGGCAATTTTTCCTCGCCCAATTAAAGGGAGGCTCATCATTCTCCTGAGAGCAGTGGAGGGATCGTAGGGTGCCAAAAAATGCCACCGTCACCACACAGCTGCGTGGCGGGATGGCCTACCCTGGGCTTTGCAGGCGCTAACCCTCAGCGTCACCTCTCGGGAAACGTTTGCTGTGGGACAAGCTACTAAATGATAGCCTTCTTATAATACGAATAGACTAACTAATTGAACGTCGCAGGATCAGCAGGTCCCAGCTCAACGTGTACTTCAACAGCCTCCAGTTCGTGAGCAACCGCCGGAGCGAGCTCTACGGCCACACCGACTTTTTGGGTGCGTCTCGCGTCGAATCACGTCCGACTTTGTCAGGACCTCCTGTCGGCAGCGGAGTAAACAATGGCACCCCGGCGACTGCTTAAAACCGTCTTATTTTTCCGACAGCCAATTTCGGCGGCCTGCTGGGCCTGTTCACGGGCTTCAGCGTCATCAGCCTGGTGGAGGTGGGCTACTATGTCAGCCTGAGGTTGTGGTGCGACGTTCGGCGGCGGGCGGCGGAACGGCGGCGGGTGGAGCTGCGGCAGAACCGTTGAGCCGAGTGCCGCCGGGCCCGGGCCGCATCCTCTTCTTCCTCCTCCTCATCCTGCCCGACGGGGCTGCGCGCGCGAGGCGTCTGGGTCCAGCGCAGCACACCGCGACCACATTGTCCCTTCTTGTCGCCCGTCCGCGTCAGTCGTGGCTGCAACTGAAATGCCAACACACGCGTCAGTAATTCCGGCAGCAATTAACAGAGGCACACTCGCCGCTCCGCAAACTCAACTCTGCAGTGGTGTTTTGACGTCGTTAGTGTTTGCCAGCGGGGGCAGGACAAAGAGAAGCTGTTTAAACCAACTTCCATATACAACGCGTGATAAGAAGTGACTTTTTGTCGGTTGAATCTTGGTTGTATTGCATTGCAAAATATATTGCAAGCTGCTGCCAACCATTCAAAATAAAAGAAGGCATATCGTCAGAAATACGAAAATACAAAGAAAACGGACGTGGAGAGTAAGGCCTATTGGTTTTTGGTTTTTGAGTTTGGGCGCCCACACTAAGTTTTACGAGTTCCTGCTAATATAAATATGCACAGTTTCGGCCTCACCCGTTGAAGAAGTAAAAGAAGAGGCCATAGTACAGGCACACGCTCACGTAGAACAGCATGGCGGGCGTTTGTTTGCAGAAGTGGAGGGAGCAGGAGAAGGAAGAGAAGGATGGGGCGGGGCGGGGCGGCGTCTGGACGAGGTAGGTACACTAATAATTAGAGAGACGTTGCCATGGTGAGGGAAGGGAGCAGATAATGCGTGTTCCGTCCGGTCCGACTCAAACTTTACTGTGGCTCTTCGGTCGTTCACTCGTACTCTTCTTCTGCTGATTGCACACTCAATCACCGAAAACAGAAAGTCACGTGCGTTCCTTCCTACGCAGGGAAGCCCCGCCATTTGTCCCCCGTGTGACGGCTACTTTGACGACGGAAATGTGTCTTGTTCTCAAAGTGACGTAGAGACGTGCTAGCGACCATTTTCTGTCGATCATGACTACTTAGTATCCTCTCTCGACTATTAGCGGAGCTAATTACTTGAAAACACGATTACGGATACTCGTACATGGTTCGACCATTATTGCAACTACGCGATCGCGTATAGGCTACACTGTAAACTGGCTGGCGTCCTGTGGCACCAAAATATTGGCGTTCGAACGCCAATATTGGGCGTTCAAAGAGGACAATATTTGGCGCTCTGAGAAGAAGAACGCCAACTAGTTTACAATTTATAGGAAGACGAGCGACTGTTGTCGTCGAGCGCTAAAGTAAAACTAAGATGAAGGGGGGAGCGGAATCTCCATACCCGAGGTGTGTAATGCTGTCAGCCTTGGGTAGCTTCGCTGCTAAACTGACCAGGCAGGGGGGATGGTCCACGATGAACGAGGCTCAGCTACGCCACGCCACGCGATGCAGCTCCGCGAGAAAAAGCCGATTATTGTCATTACCATAAGCCAGCAGCCAGCCCGACCAGCACCGGGCCGCAGATCAAGATCAGACTGTTTTACGTCACAAGCCAGCAGAGGAGGGGCGAGGGGCAGGAAGAGGGGCGGGCGGGAGCAAGGGGAGCAGGGCACCCAACCGCACTGCTGAATCCCCTAGCGAATGGTGCCTATGTTGAGTTGGCCCCACTGCGATAACAGCGGCCGCGGGCCGCGTACGAGTGGCCCTGGTGATCCCGGTGACCCCGGCGACCTTGGTGACCTTGGTGACCTTGGTGACCTTGGTGATCCTAGGGACCCCGGTGACCGTGGTGTTCCAAGGGTAGTGGGCCGAACAGTTTCGGCGACGCGCGTAAGGAGATGACGGCGTCACCTTGCGAGGCACCCGGCGATTGTTTTCAATCCGGGACGTAAACAGAACGGGCCTGGGTGCCCCCCGGACCACTATCGGGGACGAGAAGAAAGAGGGACAGAGAGAGGGAGGGGAGGGGAGGCGAGGCGACAGGCCTCCGCGAGTCCAGTGGAGATGAGCGAGATGATTCGCGCAGGCCGGCCGCGCCTGTCTCCGCCGCCCCGCGCCTCCCGCCCTCTCGCCCCGCCGTGCGTGCGAACTGCCGGGTCGGGCCGGGTCGGTCCAAGCCGGCGGCGGAGTGTCGTGGACCTTCCCCGCCCAGTCTCCATTCCGGGCCGGAGCGCTGCCGCAGCCGCCGCCGCCGAGCCCCGCACGCCGCCGCCTCCACTGTGCTCCGCTGACGTGCTGCTAGTGGTACTGTGCGCTCTGCGAGCATCCCGACTCGCTGACCAGTGAGCAGCCGGGAGGGGAGCTGACCACCACGCCCGGATCGTATCGCCGGGACCGGCTGAACAAAGGTGAGTGACCTGCCTGCAGCTGATGCAGGGTCGCGGCTGGTCGCGGCCAGCGCCGCACCCGCGCGAGGGGAAGGGGGGCACTTTAATTGTTGTGACGTGTGACGCCGACGACTACATGTACTCCGTAGTGCGTGGGAATCACAGCGCGCGTTTCGTCGGCCTCCACCAATGGACACAAAAATGATCATGGAGTCTCGCTTTGATGACGTGCTAGAGATGGACGGTGGGCGTCGCCGGCACCGGGAGGCCGACAGGCAGAGGCCATTGGAGACTTTTCGTTGCCAAAACGACCAGGCACGTAGTTGGCACATCATTCGCATACGCCGCGCATTGTGAAGTTCGCGAACTCGCGACACCAAGCGCCAAACTAGGCGCGGTGTCTTCACACCCCCCGCGGGTAACCAGCTCCGCGGCCTGGTCGGGCGCTTCTTGACGCTGTTCGCAGCGAGCAGCCTAATGTTCAGTAATGTGCACAAAAAAATGCCCCGCACTTCTGCTTAGGTTATTGATTGTTGCAAGCCCCGTGATGGAAGCGGTAAGGCGTTTAACCTGAGAACGGTGCGAGACCCCTCTCAGTAAACAACGGGATGGTGGGTGGTGGGTGCCTCACAAGTAGTGTCTGTTGTGCGCCCAGAGCTGCCAAACACAAGCCGGGCGCGAGGAACACGCGACCCGCGACCCCGCGACCCACAACCCGCGCAGATCGCAGTGTACAGGCAATAATTCTAAAAGTCGCCGAAATGACGAGGACAACAAAACGACTTGTCTAGTGGCTCGGCCTCGGCCACGACCTCTGGTCCTTGGTGTTGGCGATCGGATGCACTGATACTACTACGAACGTCGCCATTGCGGCGTCGCCGGGTGTCCCCTCGTGGAGGTCGTGGAGGCCCGAACGTGTGAGTGACACCAATTATCATTATTAAACCGGCACCGTCACCTTGGCGGTGTGCACGGCAATTGTTTTAAAGAACGGGGCAAAAGATCATTTGTTTAGATGATTTTCCTCTTTTGGAAATAAGTACTGAAAAGGGAAATTCTATTAGTGATAGGCAGAAAGTCGAAAAGAAATAAAACTCACGCATGTAGTAATACAACTGTTCGCCAACAGGCACGTTCCGTCGTCAACATTCTCCAAAATGAGTTCGCTGCGAGTCCCCGTGCTCCTGCTGCTGCTCGCGCTGCTGGCGGCGTGCTCCGTGGCCGCGGAGACGTCATCGACGACCACTAGTGCAAAGACTTCATCGACGACCACCACCGCGCTGACACCCGATGCGCCCTCGAACGCCACCGAGGAAGTGGAGGTAGGAGAACGGCGCCGGCGGCCGGCACACCAGGGCCACCACCACGGCTCAGGGGCGAGTAGTAGTGCCGGGTCGTTCGCATCCTCCAGTGACTCGGGCAAGCTATACGGCGGCGGCGGAGGCTTCAACGGGCATCACAGTAGTGAGGGAGGGGGCGGGGGCAGCTACAACGGGCATCACGGTGGTGGAGGAGGGGGCGGGGGCAGTTACAACCATGGGGGCCACCAGAAGGCGTCCCCTTTGCGCATGGAGTACGCCTGGAAGAAGATGGACTTCGTTTTCCCCTCAGACCACGCGCGTAACGACGCCTACCGCTCCGGCAACTACAACTACACCAAAATCATCGCGCTTGACGTTGACGTCTGGGAGAAAGGTAAGCACAGGCAGCTCGCTCCGGACGACTTGAAACAATGAAACGTGTAAAAATTGCTTCATGTTGTTGGCACCTTTGTCCGTACCCATGCAGCTGGCAGAAAGAAGGTGTTCGTCACCATGCCCATAGACAAGGGTGTGCCCGCCTCCCTGGCCACCGTGTCGGCGGAGGGCGACCCGCACGCGCCCCTGCTTGCGCCGTACCCGGACTGGAGCTGGCACCGGAAGGGCGACTGCCGCTCCATCAGCTCCGTGTACCGCGTGGCGGTGAGTAGAGAGTCTCGTAGAGAGTGCCCCTCCCCTCGGGCCTCCCAGCGCAGCGCACAGTGCGGCAGATCTCGAAAAAGGTGGACATAATTCTAATAACGACCCCTTCGACTTTAATTTGACTTTCCTTGTTTCTGGAAGTTACAGCATAGTTTTTATGCCCTTTGC